ACATTTCTGATTATCCTCAAGGTATATTCTAAAGTTCAAATGTATAATACGTCTATATTCTCTAAATACATAATTCAACATACTTCTTGCAAAATAATCTACTATCCTAATCTGCCCTTAAGGCGTCGTCATCTTTATTTCTTGCAATATTATGTAAGGGTGAGCATCTATTCTACCACTTAAAAAGGATGTGTGCACATATGCGAATGTTATTCACCACCCTATATTTTTTCTGATATCCACATCATCTTCGGACTCTATATCCCCAATATATCTCTATAACTATTTACACTACATGTTTGGCCATGTTTATCTCAAATCCAATCATAAAATCATACTAATAAGCACTTTCAGACAATTTCCACATTACTTATTACGTCGATATATGACTCTAACAATCAAAATATTCATTCTAACATCATCATTATTCTCTTCAACATATCTCAACAGTACAACAACAACATTTCACTTTAATAATCACAATATTACACTAAACATATTCAAAAGTTATTAATGACATTATTCAGCTAAGATATCATGCTTTTCTTATATCACAAACACATAATAATCAATCAAACACACACATATCATCATACAATATTATGAGATAAAGCTCTCATAAGCTCAACACACAACTTATAATATAATGATAAAATATAGCTCCCCTTACCTCAAAATTAGGATTAAACAGAAAATTGATGAAAGTTTAACATTCTAGAACCAAAATTTCTCTAAATATCATGAGATAACCTCGAGAAACATGAAATACAGAGAAACAATCAGTAAATTCAGAGTTAAATTCAGAGAAACTTACTCAGAATCGCTTATAACTGATGTACAACCCTTGATTTGAAGGATAATCAATGTTGAAAGAGGTTTTATCCGAGAAAACGTGAAGAGAGTTCAGAGAAAATGAAGGTGGGATGTGAAATGGGATGAGGAAATGAGTTTTCCATACTTGAAAACCCTTAAATACTCTTAGAATCGCGATATTCTTCCTACAACGAGTCTTTCTAGCTACACCGAGAGATCATTCATGACATGCTCCCTACAACGAGAGCTTGTCACTACACCGAGATAACTCTCGCTACAACGAAAATATCAAACAAAATATGCATATATTTTTTTGCACTTTTTGCTACGATGAGGGATCATCGCTATAATGAGACCCTATCGTTACAATAATACCATTTCGCTACAGCGACAATACTCCATAATGTTCCAATTTCACTGCCTTATTCTCGCTATAGGGAGAACTCCTTGCTACAAAGAGAATTATCTGACTACAGTGAGAATCTCACAGTTCCAATATTTCAAAACCTTTTCAATATCCATTCACTTGTAAATTTAACATAATTATGAAATTATAACTTATATAAAAACAACAATGTTACATGAAGCTTCCCCTCCCCCTCCCTCTCCCTTCCCCTTCCTCCTCTCGTAGTTCCATCACCCCTTTTCCCCCAACCCACCAGCGCTATCTCCCTCTCTACAGCCCCTCCTTTCTCTTTCCATAGCTTCTCCTCCCCTTTTTTGGCAGCCCCCTCCCCTCACACAACCTTGCATTCTCTCATCTAGCCTCCCTCCACTCCCTCTTGTTCTCCTTCAACTATCCAAAGCCCTCCTCCTCTTCTCTTGTTTTCTTTCTCTAAGTTAAGTTTTCGCTGTAGAAAATCTTATAAATTATTTGGTAAAGGATCAACTCGGTTATCTATTATACGTGGTTATGATTAAAAGAAATAAAGATGAGATTCTTGTAGTCACCTAAATTTTTGGACTTCTGAACTTAAATTTCAACTTGCAAGAATACTTTTTATACTCTTACTCACTAAAGACTATAAATTTCGCTGTTCTAAAATTTCTCAAAGATAATTTTGTTTCTAATTGACATAGGTGTACTTCAAGGTTTTGGTGGGTTGGAGAAAGGGAAAGAGATGGGAACTGGGAAAAAGGAGGAGGGGAAGTTACAGAAAGGGGAAAGAAGAGTTGTGAGAGAGTTAATAGGATATTTTAAGTTAATTTAGAATTTGGATATTTTTCTTAATATTAAGCTTTTTCTAAAAGAAAATTGCTCATAGTAAATTATTTACTAATCAAGAGAGTTAATAGAAATATGGCTACTTATAATTTTTACGCTGGGTGTCTGACTAGTCTTGAATCTATCATGCATATGTTGAGAGATTGTTTCTATGTTACTAAAGTTTGGGAAAGACTTATCAATAATCAATGGAATAAACATTTTTTGTTTTGACCTCTATAACTGATTAGATTAGAATTTGTCAAGAAAAAGACTTAAACATGAGAAAAATTAGAATATTGTTTTTGGAGTTATCATTTGGATTGATCATATACTTAGAGAAACAAATTATTGTCCTAATTCTTTTAAGTAAAATGACTCATTTGTAAGAAAATGTATGTTTTTGAAACAACTTAGTTTCTTATTACCTTTTTTAAGTCAAGATGCCTCTAATTTTAGATATCTTAGACTTTATCCTTAGTTTTTTTTTTCTTTATAGCGTTTAAATGTGTGCATGTATGTATATATTTTAAAAAGAAAAATTAAAAGATTTAAATGAATAATGAGTTATAACTGTGATTGAATCAAGAATTATTTTATAAACTCAAAATGTATTCTTGTTAAAAAACTTTATAGTAAACAAAAATTATTTAATGAGATAATTAAAAAAAGTTTAAAAATTTAAATAAATAATTAGTTATAACTATGATTGATCAATGAAAAAAACATTGTTATGTGACATAATAAAGAATAAAAACATTAATTTTAATGGTGTGTAAATATGAATTCTTAAATTAAAATGTATTTAGAAACTTTGTCAAATAGAATACTTCTAAGAGTTGGTTTTCTATCTCAACATGTTAAGTGAATTTTTCTTACATTAATTTAAAATTTTATTTTTTTTACATTGATTTTAATCTATCTATTTAATTAGTATTATTTAATATAATAGAGCATTTTTCAACTTTCATATAAAATTTTTAGTAGGAACTTTTAAACAATAACTGTTTTAGGAGATTTTTAAACAAGTGTACTTTTAGGAGTTGATTCTTTTTCCTCATCATGTCAAATATTTTTTACATTAAATATTTATTTTAATTTGATATTAATTCAAAAGTTAATTTTTTAATTTTCTTAATTTTAAACTTATCTCTTTATTTAATCTTTTTAATATAATGAAATATTTATTATTAATAATTAAAACATTTCTTTTTTTAATTTTGTACCATTTATTAAATTTTAAATCTTAATTATTCATATAATTTTTTAAATTTAATTTAATAATACCCGTACACTTTCCGATAAAATCAATAGCATAAAATTATTTTCCATGTCAATGCCGAGTTGGCTTCTTTCTTTAGAAGTCTTAACTGTGAATACTTGGAATGTGAAAGCAAAAAAGCATAGCACTCAACAATCTGTGTAGTCCAAAAGTAGGAGACAGTGCATAAAGATAACAAAGTTACATATAGTTTTACCAATGTCACCTTCTCATTGTTAGATAGTAGCTTTTTGTTAACTTCATACCTTAGAGTTGAATTTAAATATTCATAAATAAAAAATTTTATTGAAAAAAGTAATTATATTAAAACTATAAAAATATAATAAATACTTCTCTTTTTAATAAATTTTTACTATTATTAACTGTTTATTTTTAGTTATTAGAGTTGAGGTTAACAAAACCCTATATAATATTCAGCCAAAGCATTATGAAACCATTTCAATAACTAGCTAATTAAGTTAGGTACAGTTCATCATCCTCCACACTCCACACTCCACACTCCACACCAGTAGCTCTACAGTGTTCTCTATTCATTTTCTTCTTCTTCCTTTTTCTTTACTAACTTCATATTTATTGTTTATTGCACCCAAAACCAAAAAGCTCTTATGTTCTGTAGTAAAGAATCTGCATATTCAACTTATTCTCTTTCAATCCAATTGCAATTTTTCTTCTGAATCCTTAAAAAATAAAGTGCAAATTATTAATAATTGAACAATTCATTACATTCTAAGTAATAGCAACTTTCTGTTGAATATTCCAATTAATACTTATCACAATCCCAAACTTTAATGTTTGTTTGTCCTCAAGCAATTTTTTTTTTTCTATATGAACAAATGTCTTTAATTAGAATCTTAAATCACACACTTTCATTTATCCTTCTTGCAGCAATGTAAATAATTCTTAACATTCACAAGCAAATTTATTATTCTTGACAACATAATTGAATTAAACTCTCTACTTTCAGGATTGGTGTTTCACTCTTTGACTTTATTTCATGGAGTCTTTGACATTGTGTTAGTGTCACAAGTTGTAATTTTGTGTGTTATTTGCACCAAATAAGAAAAGCAACAAACTTCTTTTTTATTTTGTATTTTTCACTCAAAATTACTAACTTGTGACATCAGTCTAAGACTCTATAGAATAAAACCAAAATCAAAATTAATTTCCAACAGAAATAGCACATAAAATAAACACAAATTTGAATTAAGTAGATAATTGTAAATGTAAAACTCATATTCATCACCATAAGATCTCCAGATGTTTTGTCTGTTGTCCAAGCAAACTGCAAAATGAATACCATAATATTTTTTCCTTCAAATTGAAGAGAAAAAGGCCATCAAAGATTTCTAAATCGTGTTGACTGTCCCACCAAGTTAGTGTTCATCTCTCACAAATATTTTGTGTAAAGGATAAAACTGAATCTGTTCGTAAAGATAGTAAAGTTAGTTAGCTTAGCATAACATTAGCCAATTCAATTATTTTCTGTTAATTCTGTTATCTCCTTATGTCCTAATAAGACACTGTTATTGAGTGTTTTTGCATCAGAAACAATTTACAATACAAACTGAGTTTTATCTCATCAATATCCTCTCTTTTAAACTCTTCTTTCCAATCTGCCTATACCTTACATGGTATCAGATTTAACTTCTCGATCCTTATTGATGCAAACCAAAAAACAGAGTATAATATACGCACTGGATGAAACAAGGAACCTTGGTTAAATTGAGAAAAGATAACCAAAACAAGAAAAAACAGATGGGAGTGAGTACCCAATCTGCCCAGAGCCAAGCTCCTTAGAGTCACCACACAAAAGAGGTATCCTCTACCAAAATGATATGAAAACCAGAATGATCCCCTTCTCTCTCCAATCGGATACTAAATAACCGTAAAGATAAAAAGACAAAAATATCTCACTCCACATCCCCAAAATACCCCTTAACTAACAATCATGACCCAATCACTCCTCTAATGCCTTTTCCTCACGTAAACACGACCCCATCTTCCATGGTTGCCTTCATGCACTAAAGGCTCACTTGATTCACCTCCAATGGTTGTATCAATACCTCCTCCTTGAGCATTTGTCTTGTCCTCAAGACATAGAGAAGGAAATTGGCTGCGGATTGTAATTTCATCTTCCCATGTTGCATCTTCAGTGGGCTTCCCTTTCCATTGAATCAACCATTGCTTTAGTCGCTCTCCATGCTTGAGCATGTGTCTAGAGGCTAAAACAGCTTCAGGCTCTATGAATTACCCTCTATCATCTTCCAGCCTAGTAGGTAATTCTTCCTCTACCTCATAATTTCCCACTGCCTTCTTAAGCAAGGACACATGAAACACAGGATGGATCCTTGAAGTGGGAGGAAGCTGCAGCTTATAGGCCACTTCTCCAATCTTTTCCAAGATTTTAAACGGCCCATAATAGCGAGCACTGAGTTTAGGACTAATCCTAGCCATTACAGAATGCTGCCTATGCTGTTTGAGTTTCAAAAACACCATGTCACCAACTTCAAACGCTCTTTCCTTTCTATGCTTATCAGCCTGGGTTTTCATGCGATCTTGAGCCCTTAGCAAATGTGTTTTTAACTGTCTCAGTGCTTCATCACGATCAATCAACTCTCTCTGAGCTGACTCCACTCTCATTTCCCCGGGAATGCATTGTACCAGTTTTGGAGGCTCACGTCCGTACAATATATCCTTGGTGCTGATATGATTCCAGAAAAATATCTCTCCAAAGAAGATGAAGCCAAGAGTGTTATCAATCCTGCGTTCGACAATTTTGAACAAGACAACTTACTCAAATCTTAGAAATCAATGGATACACAATTTAAAGTGCATGTTGTTGAATGCGAATGGTCCCACCAAAGCACATGTAAAGCAATTACGAATTCAGCTTTGAAATATCAAGAAAACGTGGTCTATTAGTGGATATCTCATTCAAGTAAAACAAATAGTTGAAACTCTGGCTGCTATTGGTTCTCACATCACCCCCAAAGAACATATTGATGCTCTCTTTGATGGTTTATTACGATAGCTTTATTACCGCTTGCCTCACAAGATTGGAATCTTTTTCAGTTTCTCATACTGTTCATTCTGGTGATGCTGATTTGTGGCATTCTAGACTAGCTTATACTTCCTATAAAATTGTACATCATGTTATGAGGTACTGTCACATAGCTATCTAAGCTGTTAATAAAAGCTCCCTGTGTTCTTCTTGTTGCTTAGGAAAATCACATAAATTACCTTTTCATAATTCTACTACATGATTTAATGAACCACTGCAATTACTATATGCCGATATTTGGGGACCATCTCCATCCCCTTCTAGGGATGGTTATAGGTACTATATTCTGTTTTTGGATGCTTACTTGAAGTTCACTTGGGTTTACTTCTTGCATAACAGGTCTCAAGCTCTTTCCACCTTTCTTCAATTCAAAACTTTGGTTGAAAATCAACTAGGCAAAAAAAATTAAAATCTTACAAACTGATGCTGGGAAAGAGTATGGTGCGTTTTCCAAATACCTTGCAGACAATGGAATTTTACATAGGTTCAGTTGTGCGTATACTCATGAACAAAATGGCTTAGCTGAACGCAAACACAGGCACATAACAGAAACTGTACTCACCTTACTTGCTGCTTTATCTCTCCCATCTGAGTTTTGGGTTGATGCTTTTTCAACGGCTACATTCGTGATAAATTAGCTTCCTTCATCAGTACTAAAATTGAAATCTCCTTTTGAAGTTCTATTTTGGCTTCCTTCATCAGCACTAAAATTGAAATCTCCTTTTGAAGTTCTATTTTCAAAGATTCCAGATTATACGTTGTTCAAGCCTTTTGGCTGTAGGTGCTTTCCTTATCTATGATCCTACAATAAGCATAAGCTGGAGTTTCATTCCCAACCTTGCATATTTCTTGGCTATAGTTCAAATCACAAGGGATATAAATCTCTTTCTCCTTTGCGAAAAGTGTATGTTGTTCGACATGTGTTATTTGATGAGCTATCTTTCCCATTCAAACAAACTCCTCCAACCACAAATATGCCTTCAAACATCACTCTTCCTCTGTCTCATCCTCCATCAACTCCAATAATCATTCCCGAACCTTTCAATTCCAACCCACCTATTCCTTCTCCACCTCACCATTTAGAAACCTCCACTCCAACTACAATTGAGCCTACTGTCACTAATCTGGCCACTAACACTCCCCTTCCTATTGATACTCCACTCTCACAATTCCTTTTGCCTACCAATACTCATCAAATGCTAGCAAGAGCTAAGGCAGGAATTTTTAAGCCTAAAGTGCTCATTGCTGACATAGAACCGAGATCAATACAGGAGGTGTTCTCATCCAAGGAATGGCACTCCGCTATGCAGGACGAGCACATGGCTCTCATACAAAATCAAACCTTGGAATTAATGCCTCTACCTCCTAACAGAAAGGCCATAGAATGCAAATGGATATTTCGCATAAAGAGAAATCTCGATGGTTCAGTTGCCAAACATAAAGCTCATCTTATGACCAAAAGTTTTAACCAAAAAGAAGAATTAGATTAGACTGAAACATTCAGCCCAGTAGTAAAACCAGTCACTGTTCAAGTTGTCCTAAGCATTACAGTCACACGAGTTTGGTATATAAGACAAATCGAGATTAACAATGCCGTCCTCAATGGGTTTTTAAAGGAGAAAATTTATATGAGGCAACCTGAAGCGTTTCAGTCTGGCGATCCTACTCTTGTATGCCGATTGCGTCGAGCTCTATATGGGCTCAAACAAGCTCCTAGAGCTTGGTTTGAAAAATTGGTGACCACTCTCAAATCTTTTGGGTTTCATCTAGCAAAATGTTATAGCTCTCTGTTCATTCAGCATCATTTATCCTATATCACTTACGTTTTAATATATGTTGATGATATTCTTATAATAGGAAACTCACCCACTCTTGTTCAGACTTTTATCACCAAGCTAAACTCTTTGTTTCCTCTAAAAGATTTAGGTCCTCTCCATTATTTTCTTGGAATTGAGGCTAAACACACAACAACTAGCAGCATTTTGTTGACTGACTCCAAATACATATCCGACATTAACAAGGGTAAATATGCATAATGTTAAAGCCATTAAGACCCCTCTTGCACCAGGGACAAAACTAGTTGCTGATGGGACAAATGAATACTCGAATCCCTCACTGTACAGGTCCATCGTTGGTGCATTGTAATATGCAACCATCACTTGACCAGATGTGGCATTTGCTATCAACAAGCTATGTCAATTCATGTGCCATCCTCTTGAGTCTCATTGGACAGCTACAAAGAGGGTACTAAGATACCTAAATGGAACTATTGATCATGGAATTTTATTTCAGCCGTCAACTTATCTCGATATTACAGGTTTTTGTGATTTCGATTGGGCCTCAGACCCTTCTAACATGTGATCTACCTTAGGGTTCTGCTTATTCTTAGGCAAGAATATCGTCTCATGGGTTGCTAAAAAGCAACATGTTGTGTCTAGATCAAGCACTGAAGCAGAATTTCGAAACATGTCTCTCCTTGTTGCAGAAATTTCATGGTTACAATCTCTTCTTTGTGAGCTCAGAATTCCACCCTCCAAACCTCCTTTAATATGGTGTGACAACCAAGGTGCAGTTTTGTTGACAACCAACCAAGTCTAAACATTTTGAGCTAGACCTATGATTTGTTAGAGAGAAAGCCTCTCAAGGGCAGATTGTGGTCAAACACATACCTTCACAATTTCAAGTTGCAAACTTATTAACTAAGTCTTCATCTAGTGCTATCTTCCTTAATCTCAGACCCAAACTAAGTGTTTTGCCTCTCTTCACACTTAGTTTGAAGGGGGCTGTAAAGAATAAAACTGAATCTGTTTGTAAATATGGTAGAGTTAGTTAGCTTAGCATAACATTAGCCAATTCAATTATTTTCTGTTAATTCTGTTATCTCCTTATGTCCTTATAAGACACTATTATTGAATGTCTTTGCATCAGAAACAATTTACAATACAAACTGAGTTTTATCTCATCAATATCCTCTCTTTTAAACTCTACTTTCCAATCTGCCTATTACCTTACATTCTGCATAAGAATTTCAACCAATAACCTGCTCAACATGTAATTACATCACACTTTTATTGAGATATACCAGACACAGTTTTCTAGAATCAAGAGTATTTCTAACTGATAACTTTTATGTACGAAGGATTAAATTCATTAAAGAAAAAATCAACAAATGAGGTGACTACAATGAGGGAGCAGGTGAAGTTTCATACCGAAGACAAAGAAATCACGTGAAAATTATGGTTTCTGGTGTAGTCCTCCTCCTCTTTGAAGCAGGAAGAAGCTGTTCTTGGTCATCTTCATTTTCATTATTGAACCCTCCAACTCCAACACCATTTGCTTTAAGTTGTGACTCATTATCGATGATTTGAGTAATGAATTCGGATTCAAAAATTTCCATGGTACTATTATTACCAACCACTTCAACCCTGATTCTGAGGCATATACTGGAAAGATCCCAGACCCTTTTATCCTCTCTCGTTCATTTTCACCATTTCTATTAAAATTGAATTGAAATGATATGTCACTGAAATGATCATACGCTCCACTTGTGCTGTTAAATTTGCTGACGTCATGATACCAAAATATCACATGATCTGAAATTAAATTTGCAGAATTTGGCACATAGAAACTGCTCCCGAAACTTGCGGAGTATTCACAGATACAACAAGAAGTCACTGAACCGATACCTCCTTTCGAAAGAATGATGCAATAGATAAAACCACACAAGTCAGATTTTGGAAGATAAGGAATGGTTATTGAACTTTCTCTCGTTTGAAACATTGATAGAGCCCAATTCCAGATTGGTCCTATTGAGCCATTGGCCCATGAAACAAAGTCATTCCCTAAGAAATTGTTAGTGTACTCACGGAAGAAAAGAGAAGGAGCTGACGTGGCATGAGAGAAGGGGTGCGGGCAGTTAGAGGAGAGAGAGAGTGGAATATCCATATCTTTCTGTTATTTAGGGAATGATATGAGGCTGTGGAGGGGGTGCTGTTTCTCTGATATCTTGGGTAGAGGAAACTTAGTGGTTTCTCACTTTCTCTATTAGGAGCATTGCTCTGGGCAGTAAGGAGTCATCTTTCTTGCTGTATTTCTTCTTTTGTCATTAATACAGGATCAAAGTTTATTTTCTTCTTCAATTCTCTGTTTCACTTTTATATTTGTTGCTTGGGAACGTAATAAACATACACTCCTCAATAAGATGGTCTCCAGGGAATAAGAAATACTCGCCATTAAACCTTGTATAGCTTGGTATCCGAGCATCTTTTTTAATTTGAAGAGGGTGTTGGCGATAGTAGGGTATGCAGTTCTGTATCATGTTGTAGCACTAGCTTTTGAGTGAATTCTGTATCCAGATATGTACAGTTACAAGCATCCAAGCGTTCCAAGGATGGTGGAAACTCTTCTAGAGACGATGAGCGACCAATGTTGTGAGGGAGTGAGGGAGTGCTTGTGAGGACCACAAATTCGATGCATTCTGCTACATGCACTCAGAAAGGTTTGATTTTGTAATATATCCTATTCCTGTTCCTGAATCATCTGATAACATGTTCTTGCATTCCAGATTCTTGCACCCAAAAAGGCTTTCAATACCTTTGCAATTCCTTAAAAACAACATCCTAAGCTTGGGGCGAGATAACAGAGACGATGCAACTCACGCAAGCTTTCACAATTATTAAGATATACTAGTTCAAGATTGTCTGCCATAGATAAGTCTGGGATCTCAATTAGGTCTCGCGAGGCCAAAAGTATAATTTTCTTTAAATTCACAAGATTCTGTAACAAGAAATATGATCATATTGCTCAGAAACCGTTAAATTCATAATAAAGAGCCTTAATTAAAAGAGAAACCAAATCATATATTTAAGCTCATCAAGGTTCTTTATGGTTTCCCTTTTCTACCTTTACAAATTTAAAACCAAACACAGGAAGTATATACACATTCATATCATATCATACTAACTAACTATGTTCTAAACAGATACAAGTGTTATAAAATACATGTAATTGGGCTTCCACTCACCTCCTTATATTTCAATACATTACACACTTCCTCATGTCTCCACAATCGACTTCGTCTCCCAGGGTCTTTGATTGATTCTTGATCAACAATTTCCCAACCCATTTGTTGTATGAAGTCATGCATTTCTATTTCTATCAAGATGAAACAGTAATTAGAGCTCTATCTAAGAGGGTTTCTATTCCAGATGCTGCAGCGAAATCACAAGCTTCTAGTAAACTCGTTACCCATACTCTTTTTTCTCCTTTGAAGAAGCATGCAATGTCTAAAAAGATGTCCTTCTCACAACGATCTAAAGAATCATAGCTTAATTTTAATACCTTGTGAATTTCCATTTTTGGAATCTTTTGGAGTTTTCTCAAATCACTTTTCCATGCTTTTTTACTTCTTGAACGAAGACTTGCACCCAAAACTTTCAAAGCCAAAGGAACACCTTTGCAATAGACAATTGCTTTTCTTGATAGATCTTCATATCCTTGTTTCGGATGTTTCTCTCTGAAGGCATTAAAACAGAAGAGATGAAGAGAGTGATGAAAGCTTAATTGCTTGACCTCATATTTTCCATCAAGTTGGGTAAATATTTGCTTATTTCTAGTTGTAGCAATGACTCTACTTCCTGGTCCCAAAGAATCACAATCAATTAGATTTTCTAATTGCCCTGAGGTAGCCACATCATCCAAGACAATGAGAACTTTTTTACGTCCAAGCCTACTCTTGACAAAATGGGGTACTAAAAAGGGTATATCAAAACAATGATTTTCATTCTCTAATAACTCCTGAGTAAAGTTAATTATACAAAGCTTTGAGTCCAAGCCTGTCTAATTCTTCCCTTACATCTGCAAGGAAGCAACCACCTTCGAACTCATTAGAGAATTTTTCATATAAAGCAGTGGCAAGGGTGGTCTTACCTATGCCACCCATACCCCACATTCCAAGGATTCTAACTTCACTTGACCCCATTTTTAGTAGTGATTTTATCTCTATATAATGGCTCTCAATTCCAACCAGTCCTTTAAGTTGGTTAGGGTATCTAGGAGTCAATTTTTTGCAAAACATCGCCAACAATTTCCTTAATGAATTCAGCTTCAGTCCTAGCATATGAAATGGGCAACAAAGAGACAAATGATTTGTTATATAAGTCTAACAAATTCAAAAGGAGAAAAAGAGAAAGAAACATACAAATTCACTAACAGAATTTGAATTTAGCGAGTACACATACAGGACAACCAGTTCGTTTTATTTACCTGTAAGTTTGAGAGTCCCAACCAGCTAAGTTGGCTGCTTGAGTGATAGCTGCTTTCCATGTGTTGAATTTGGGTTCTCCTTCATGTTTTGCAAAGGCTTGTTCATAGCTCCAAGTTTGCTTCCTCACATGTGAGGGATCTATGTTGTAGAAGACAGGTATCACAACCTGTCCTTGCTCTTTCTTGCAATCCATAATCTTACAGAGTTCATTCAAGCACCACTTTGAAGAAGTATAGTTCTCTGAGAAGATGACAACAGACACATGAGAGTTTTTAATGGCTTTAATCAGTGCTGGTGAGATCTCATCTCCTTTCTTAAGCTCATCATCATCTCTGAAGGTTTTAACTTTCTTTTGCTTCAAAGCTTTGTAAAGATGGCTTCTGAAGTTCCTTCGGATATCCTCACCACGAAAGCTAAGAAAAACATCGTATCTTTCTGAAGACACGATAGAAGAAGAGTTAGAGGAAGAAGCTATTGCACTGGTCCTTTGTGAATGCCAAGTTTCCCACCTGCAATGATTACAACACCACTTCAAAATATCATAAAAATAACTACTTGTTTTCACACTTCTCCTTGTTAATATGAGATCAAACAATTCAAAGATCTTTCCTTTGCTCACCTCCCTTAGGAAAAGAGCTTGCCATAGGGAAAGAATGGAGAGGTTCCTTTTCCAAGAAACTTCTGGGATGCAACTGAGAATAACACAAGACAAAAATTGTAAAATTCTAAGTGTATGTTTCCGAGCAGTTTCATATGCTATGACTAGTCTTCAGTTCACACTACCGACATACAAATTACGAAGAATATCCTAGAATAGTTTTAGAATATTGTTGGAGAAAATAATTGACATATATTATGTTCTAAAAAGGATAATTTCTCTTGAATAATATTTTGGTCAATACTTAGTCAATTAATCAACTTAACTTTTTGACTAAGTGGGTATCTGTCATTTTTAGTTGCAAATAATTTCACACTTCATATGGAGTGAAGACTTGCACAAACATGCTTATGAAGATGAGAAGTTGTTTAACTTCTTTTGGAGAAAATATTATAGTCTTGGTCAAAAGCGTGTTTAAAATTTCAAAGATATTATATTTGGAGAAAGAAACTTCAGTGGGGAGCATAAATTGCATGGCACAAGCATACACAAAAGATGAAAACACCATGTCACTAGTCACTTT